CCAAACACACGTCTCAAATGTTTCCATTTGTTTATGAATCAGCACCGACAAAAACTGGAAAACAGTCGCACAAAAAGACGCAAAAAGACGCACTTTTTAATTTATATTTCTTTGTTTTTGTCACAGTGGAGAAACTGCACTGAGTCATTTTAATTCTTGTTTTTGTGGTGTGTATCGGCAAGAATCGGACGGATTCAGATTCGATATATTGCGATTTTCAATATTGAGATATTGAGGTGTGATCCCAGACTCTGCCCCCCCCCCCCTCCCCCCCCCAATGTGTGATTATAGTCTCAGACTCAGGAATATTGGACTGGGAGTTGGAGAGAAAAAAATCAAGAACTGATCAATGACTGAGGAGATATTGATATAATTCATTGGATCAATATTTTCTTACGCCTCTGTTTAAGAAACTAGAATTGTTTTAAAGTTTCAATATTTTAAGTAATGTGTAACAAATGTCATTGTTTAGATTGGGGAAACCAAGGCCTGAAGAGGGCGCCGTGTGAGGCCAGTAACACTGATGAACAGAGGAGTCGCAGGTGATTCTGATGACAATGATTCCACCAGAGAGACGGACCTGACACAGAGACTCAGCTGAGAACACGTGAGTTTTTACTCTGATTTTCATACTTTATAAAAAAAACAAACCAAAAACAAACTGCTGAAGTGACAGTGAGTGTCGTTAAACGGGACTGAAGGGGGCGCTGAGGAGGTGTCTGTGTGTGTGCCTTTAAATTCAAAAGTTTGTAAACTGCTCCCTGACTGGTGCTGTGGTCGGGCCGCGGCGTCCTGCGGTCCCTGAACGCATCATCACGCGGCCGCGGGCTCAGGTAATGAAGACTGATGGGAAGCAGATGTAACGGCCGCGTAACGGCCGCGTAACGGCACCTGTAGCTCACGGCCGACGCTGTGCAGCTGTAGAGCGCCGTCATAATCACCGGGCCGGGCCCGACAGGAGCCCTTAAACCCACGGATCCGCCCGCCGTCCGCCCCCCCTCCCCCCCGGACCGTCGTAAAAGCGGCGGTTGTGGGGG